AAAAAAAAAACTCTAAATTCTTATCCCTGAGGCCATTCCATTTATTCAGAGAATCCTCTTTCGATCCACCCAATCTGGGAGTTAGAAAGGGGTGGGACTGAAGAACACATTGCTCTGGAAGCAGATTCTTCATCTCATCCTCCCGTCTTCACTCCACTGCCTCCCACTAGCCCTCCACTGTTCCTCAGCCCCCAGCCCAGAGCCTTCCTCAGCAGTTTCTGAGAGAGAGGGACTGTGACCTTGTTGACAGAGTAAAGATTTCAGTGTTTCTTATTCAGATTTTTCATCTTTTCTTCCTTTTCTGATTGCATACTTGACTCACTCATTCCTCATTACCAGGCATTCCCATTCTTGAGCAGTTCTAAAGTCTGTTACGGAAGATCTGCTTGTTTCTCTTCAGTGTGCCTTTAGTAAGCACTTGAGTTTTTACGTTTCTTTGCCTTGGTAGTCAGTTTCCATCTCCTTCATCTGTTGTTCATCTGCGTATAGTCTGAGATTCATCAGAGATGAAGTCTGAGTTTATCTTTCTCATTCTCCTTGGAGATTAATTTTCAAAAATGACAGTGTGGGGTTAAAAGATCTTTGCCATCTTTAAACCAGAAGTCAGACTCTTTCTGGCACTTAGTTATCCCAATGTGAAGATCATAGTTCTTCCCGTTCAAAATGCATCCTTCATTGCTTTCAGGAAATATGAACTAAGGGATTTACACAATATAGTACAGTAGTATCACCACAGTACAACATACTGACAGACAAGTGGTGGTACCACTATACTATTCATGTAATTCCCTTAATTCACAGTCCAGAAAGCAATGAAGAATGTATTTTGAACAGGGAAGAATTATGACCTTGACTATATCCCACCTGAATTTAGAGATTATCTGAAGAACAGATTTTATATATTCGACACTAAAAACCAAAGACCAAAAGAGTTCTAGGATGACATCAAGAACATCTTACAGGAAAAAAGCAAAAGATCATTAAGAAGACAAGAAAGAAGGAAAAGACCCAAATGGATGTCAGAAGAGACTCTGAAACAGCGTAGAGCTGCTAAAGTAAATGGAAGAAATGAGGAGGCACAAGAGCTGAACAGAAAATTTCAAATGTCAGCTTAAGAAGTCAAATATTATAACGAAATGTGCAAAGATCTGGAGTTAGAGAACCAAAAATGAAGCAGTCACTCAGCATTTCTCAAGCTGGGGGACCTGAAGAAAAGATTCAAGCTTCAACTTTCATTATTGAAGGATTCTCTGGGCAAATTATTGGATGCAGAAAACATCAAAAGAAGATGGAAGGAATACACAGAGTCATTGTACCAAAAGGAAATGGCTAATGTTCAACCGTTTCAAGAGGCAGCATAGTCAAGAGCCAATGATACTGAAGGAAGAAGTCCAAAGTGCATTGATGGAATTGGCAAAGAACAAGCCACTTGGAATTGATGGAATACAAATTGAAACCTTTAAAGAAAGTGAAGCAGCACAGGAGGCATTCACTCATCTCTGCCAAGAAATTTGGAAGACAACTATCGGGCCAACTGATTGGAAGAGATCCATATTTGTGCCCATTCCGAAGATAGGTGACCCAACGGAATGTGGAAATCAGTGGACAGTATCCTTGGTATCACATGCAAATACCTTTTACTAAAGGTAATACAGAAACGACTGCAATCATATCTTGACAGAGAACTTCTAGAGATTCACGCCAGATTCAGATGAGGATGTGAAACAATCAGTATCATTGCTGACATCAGATGGATCTTGGCTGACAGAGAATACCCAAAAGATGTTTACTTGTGCTTTATTGACTATGCAAAGGCTTTCAGTTGTATGGATCATGACAAGCTATGAACAACATTGTGAAGTATGAGTATTCCAGAACACTTAATTGTGCTCATGAGGAACCTGAACATAGATCAAGAGGCAGTTGTTCGAGCAGAACAAGCGGTTTAAAATTAGGAAAGGTGTGTGACAGGGTTGTATTCTTTCATCATACTTATTCAACCTGTATGATGAGCAATTCCGAGAAGCTGGGTTATATGAAGAAAAATGTGGCATCAGGATTGGAAGAAGATTCATTAACAACCTGAGGTATGCAGATGATACAACCTTGCTAGCTGAAAGTGAAGAGAGCTTAAAATACTTATTGATGAAGATCAAAGACCACAGCCTTCTAAATGGATTGCATCTTAATGTAAAGAAAATAAAAATCCTCACCAGTGGACCAACAAACAACATTCTTATCAATGGAGAAAAGGATGAAGTTGTCAAAGACTTCAGTTTTCTTGGATCAGCCGTCAACACTCATGGAAGCAGCAGTCAGGAAATCAAACGATGTATTGCATTAGGC